CTGTTTTACCACATACGGTGAGCATGTACTTATTTGAAACCATCTTTCTATTATGAAGGCTAATCTCTAGAGGTGTTGCTTCAATATATCGCGCAATGTAGTCCCATTGGCGACTGTGATCACCGATGCTCCAAAACTCGGTAAAAATTGCGAGTCGCTGCTCTTCGGTAATTTTCTTTGAGCAAGAGAATCTACATACACCGCAGCCAAAACCCATTTTTCTCTCGAAAATTGGAGCGTCTGTTTTGTTCACCCCTGGGCTGCCTGAGCATTTTACTTTTTTGGCTTTCTCGTGCTTCCACTCAGCTGGCGTTCGTTGCCGCTTTCGCGTTACCCCATTCGCATGCCATTCTATTCCAAATATACCGCATTAAAAACTAGNTCTTCACGTGGTAGTAGCCCGCTGCATTGTAATGGCATGCGAAGTATCCTAGATAAGTACATCAAAATATTGTATAAAAAATATTGGCTTACTCATTTGCTGCAATTTGCCGGACGAGCTACTTCTTTCACTTGAACAAGATATATCGAGCAATAAGTAACCTAATTTGAGAAAGAATGATATATTTCATTCCAGCGACAAACTCGGTATATTAAAAACAATTTTTACCTTCTTCATAGCTTGGTTTCCCTTTAGTTTCATTATTATTTGGAATGGGGGCAGAATCTTCTAAATTTTTTGATTTTAAGCTATTAAAGATAGATGAAAAAATATCTGAAATGAGAATATAATTTAGCCGCTTCAAATTTTTTTAATTAATGCTATTTTACCTTCCATTGTAGATTCTTTTAATTGATGCTGTGTTAATACAGTGCCGGACAAAAGTATTGGCACAGAGAATTTTTCGCAATATATGCAAAGTTTTTTATTCTAATTTATTTTCAATATTTTTTAATAAAAATATAGTTCGTACTTCACCAAAAAACATAAAAACAAAATCTCTAAACTTTGTGCAAAACTCAGGAAAATTCAATAAATTTGCATACTAATTTGCAACTTCTTATTCAGATTTTCTAGAGAAATTCTAAGTATGTAGTTTTATAGTCCAACTAATTTTAGTATAACAAAGTGCAAGTTTGAAGTATCTAAAAAATTGCGTTGATTTTTGGACATTTTTTTAGTAGAAGGTGTTGCTCATTTTCTCCATACAAAAAATAATTGTCGAACATACTTTGTACGGAAGAACCTGACTGAAAAAAATTGCCAAAAATCAATGCGATTTTTTAGCACCTTGAAGCTTGCGCTTTGTTATACTAAAATTAGTTGAGCTATAAAACTGCATACTTAGAATTTTTCTAAAAAATCTGAATAAAAAGTTGAAAATAAGTATGCAGATTTATTGAATTTTCCTGAGTTTTGCACAAAATTTAGAGATTTCGTTTTTATGTTTTTTGGTGTAGGACGAACTATATATATATAAAAAATTATCGAAAATAAATTAGAATAAAAACCTTTTCAGATATTGCGAAAAATTCTCTGTGTCAATATTTTTGTCCGGCACTGTATGTAGTCAATTTTTTTAGAATATAAATTTTTGAGCGGAGACAATTAATAACTCGTTCGACAACGAATCTAGTAAAAATCAGATTGGAATGAAAATTTGAAAGACACAAAAGCAAAGTCTATATTGACTCCTACCAAAAAGTTAATGTGAAAACAAAATGCTTTCACAGTAATTATTTTCACTGTACCACAATTTTTTCAAGAATAAAAACCATACTGAAGATAATGCTTTCTTAAAGCGGCAGCTCAGATAGGGCGATCTTGAGCCATTTGCTGAGACAGGGCGTTGTTCAATCAAATTCTGAGACAGGGCGTTTTCGGAGCGGCAGCTGAGATAGGGCGTTTTTGAATAAAATTCTGAGATAGGGCTTTGTTCAACTAAATTCTGAAATAGGGTGTTGTTCAATCAAATTCTGAGAAAGGGCGTTTTTGAAGAGGCAGCTGGGATAGGGCGTTTTTGAACCGAATTCTGAAATAGGGCGTTCTTCAATAAAATTGTGAGATAGGGCGTTCTTCAACTAAATTCTGAAATAGAGCTTTGCTCAAAAATTTTCTGAAATAGGGCGTTTTCGAACTGGCTGCCGAGATAGGTCGATCTTCCACTCAGCTATCGATATGTAGATACACCGTGGAGGTTTATGGCAAAAAAATATTTTAGCCTCTAACTCATCATCTTCTAAGTAGTTGTATATATATATTTACTGCAGAAACAATAAAACGCAACGAAAAAAAAACTTATATTTGCCGAAAAATATGCGTGCGATAAGATTTCCGTTTCTCAACTAAGTCCGTATTTTTTTTTTCTCTTTCGTTGAACCTTGAAGTCTTACCCGGAATTTTACTGAACGTAATCTTACTTCCTTATAACAGATTTGAGTAAACAAATCTTATTACGCAAGTGTTAGAATTAGTTGTTGCATTGTAAAAAGTGGTTGTAAAAATTCTATTAGGGTATCATAAAAGAACTAGTTCTACACCTGCCATCTAGAGCAATCATAAGCGACTCGAAACGAAGTATTCTGAGCGCACAGCTAATTGTGGGTAAAATCTCTCTTGCCAGCCGTGTATGACACATTTGGGTGAAGAAAAAAAGTACTCTACGGCAAGCGCGTAAACGACCGTTTATAAATACATAGCATAATTTTTTGCTGCTTATTAAGTATTTGTAAACGCTATGAAGGTAAGTTTCACTTTTTCAAGAAGGGCGACAAATGTCCTCAAACACTCTTCTATGCGACCCGCAAATGACTCGAGAATGTTATGAATCGTCGAACAAATTGGCAAATACTGACTTCGATGCTACCCTACACATTCGTAGGTGCTAAAGACCCGACCGAAACGGCCAAAAGACACTTAGCGCGCACCAATCTATTGATGTGCTCCTTATCCAGCAGGACTGCGGGTGGGTACGCAAGGTTCTTCTCATCAAAAAATAAAGAAAGTGATTGGATATGGACTGATACCGATTCAAAATGGTTTAATTTCTAACTAGTTCGATTTGCTGCAAATTATTTGCGTACAGAAAATATTGTATGTATATAAAAAACTCATGAAAAACCCTGAATTGTAGACTATCCACGTTTGCCATAAAACTTTGGCAGCGACCGCCCATGACCGGCTATAAATGCGAATGATTTTGTCAAAATTTTGCACATATGTAGACCTGACGATTGTGTATATTTTTTCCTAGAACTTGTTGATTAGATATAAGAATAAAGTCCAAAAAAAATGTATTATCTCTCAAGATATCATCATAAGGTAATGAGTCTGAGTATCATAAAAATGTGATAGGCTAGCTATCATCATTGCGTTAAAATTTGCAGTATATACATATGTATGTACATTATCTTAGCGGTCCGGAAATACTTCTGTACGATAAAGTGTACGATTAGTCCCCGGTGAAGGCTATAAAACAAACTAGATTCATATACAGTGCCGGACAAAAGTATTGGCATAGAAAATTTTTCGCAATATATGCAAAGTTTTTTATTCTAATTTATTTTCAATATTTTTTAATAAAAGTATAGTTCGTACTACACCAAAAAAAACATAAAAACAAAATCTCTAAACTTCGTGCAAAACACAGGAAAATTCAATAAATTTGCACACTAATTTGCAGCTTTCTATACAGATTTCTAGAAAAATTCTAAGAATGCAGTTTATAACCCATTAAATTTTAGTTTAACAAAGTGCAAGTTTGAAGTATTTAAATAATCGCGTTGATTTTTGGCAATTTTTTTAGTGGAAGGAAATAATTGTCGAAAATACTTTGTATGGAAGAACCTGAGTGAAAAAAATTGCCAAAAATCAACGCGTTTTTTAGCAACTTCAAGCTTGCACTTTGTTATACTAAAAGTAGTATGCAAATTTATTGAATTTACCTGAGTTTTGCACAAAGTTTATATTTTTATAAAAAATTATCGAAAATAAATTAGAATAAAAACTTTCCAATATTGCGAAAAATTTTCTGTGCCAATATTTTTGTCCGGCACTGTATGTATTTAATATGAATCATTTTTGGTTTCGGTAGAGTAAAATTAGAAAGAATTTCTTACACTGATACAAAAATTACATAAAAAAACGCCGAGATACGTAAGTAAACTTAGTCGTAGATTGCGAATCTGTACACCATTTTTCTAGATGTGGTAATTATTCCCAAGATATTTTCATTTTTAATTGGCATTGCGAATGATAAAAAATTCAAACTTTAACATGGAAAATGTTACTCATACGTACGGTGACCACTCGTACCGATTTTGGTGGGACAGTACCGATTTTGAGAAAATTGTACCGCTGAATATTTTCCAAAAGTCGGGACGTATGTACGTATATTTAAGTGTCCCGATTTTTCATATTTGTACCGATTGAATTCCGATTTACAGTATTTTATTTATTAATTTAAGGGAGTATCCCAAAACCATTTTTCGGACAAACGTGGCAGCACTTTCGTTACCACGAAGAACATAGAATATAAGGGAGCTACAAACATAACCAGCTCCCTTTTTTTAAAGATCTTTGGTTTTATTCTGTCAAACTGGTGCTCTCGCTATACTGCAGTCTATCATTGTTGCTTAATTTTTTTTTAAGGTTTTTATAATTATTTGATAAGTTTGTTTTCTTTTAATCAACCGAATTGAAATTATAAAAAATAATGCTAATTTCCTCGAAAAATGGATATGAAAAATATAAGTACGTTCACGACTGTTATAATGCAAAATATGCACTTTAACAAGACGAATTACTTGTGCACGACGTACGCCATGTACGTGTATGAGTATGATCGACCAGAGCTATGTACGTATGAGTAACATTATTTTCTGCCCCTATTTCATACAAAAAATTATTACCGATTTCATTCACAGCTTGTTTATTCGTCTATCGATTTACATTATTAGTAGCTTGATTTTCTCTTGCAGAAGAACGAACAGGCTTTAATACAAATGAAAAAATAAAAAAAAATCTGTTATTATACATATATAGCTTTTTATGAAAATAACAAGCAGAAAGATGTTGGTTTATCATTTCCATTAGAAATTCTTACAATACAAATATTATCTACAAATATTATGCTAATAAATCTCTTTTTATTTATTCACAGTGTTTACATACAGATTATAACCTCAATAAATTTGTTTAGTAAACATACCAGATAATAAAGATAAATGTCGAATGATGTTTTACGACCATTACCTAAGATATAAATATGTTGAAGTTGCTTTGAATGCCAACAGTTTCGAGCAAATTAAGCTAAGCGCAGGATTTTTGGTAGAGCAAGAGATTTTCCAACGTACCAAGAACCAAAGAAGAGTAAAAAAAGAAAACATGTCTGACAAAGTGAGTGAAAGTGATACAATAGGACATGTACTATTAATAGGAGATTAAAAAGTGCTTAATGTGGTTTTTGAACTACCGCTGTAAAGATACCTAAGTGGACAAATTTAGTTGGTTTAAAAGGACAGTGAATTACAAGCGTGAAGGAAAAAATGCAACAAAATTATTTTCTGTATTTTGGAACGAATTTCCGTCATCCCTTGTCAAATTTGGTTTGGAGACGAAAAATGACGCTGAAGATGGCACAACGCCGTAACCGATTTGTGTCCAAACCAAATTTGACAAAGGATGGCGGAAATTCGTTCCAAAATACATCATACACCCACCCTGTCGGAAACAACAATAACCAAAAAGGAAAAATTATTTTAATTATTAGGTACATCCCAACACCATAATTCTCTACTATACATATATATGGAAATAAAAAAACGTCAAACCAACATTTTATTTCAAATAAAGTTTTTCTGATATTTGTTTCCGCGAAGAGCCTTCCCATGGCTGATTAAAATTCTTCGTATAAAAGTTTTTGACTTAGCGGCTTTCTGGCGGCTTATAATTTATTTTATAGGGAAACACCAAACACATTCACTCATTGCGGACAACGTATTTTCCCGATTTTTGTCGACTTAGGGCCAGTTTGTTTAAAAACTTTCCGACATTTGATTGGCTAATCTTAGCTTAAACCACCCTGTAGAAAAAAATTATCAATTGATTAAAATAACCAACTTCTAGTTAGCTTTTTTGCAGGAGTAATGCAGACGTTATCGAGAGTTTGTTTTCTTTACAAGTTTCTATTTAAATATCCTCATACAAAAATTACTTAGAATACCCTTTTTTTCTGACGAAATTTTATATTATCATTTTAATGTTATGTCTGATCGAATTCAAATATGAGACCATCTACAAAAGAACATGTAAACAAATAAGCAAATAGATGTTTTGTTAAAAAAAATAAGTAAATATATAAAAAATCTAAAAAGCCTTTTTTTATTGATAATTTATGTCCAAAAGTAGTTAGCTACAAGTTAGTTGAAATCTAATGCAGAGGAAATCAGTTCTCACAATTTCGCGGCCATCGCCCTTCAAAAGTAGTTAGTTACGGCCAAAGGAAATAGCTAATAAATCGTTACCACTAGTCGACTACCAGTAAGTTAATAGTTAGCTACAAATTAGTCCCATTTCCTGCAGGGCAGCTAGCTCGGGCGTTTAAATTAAGTTTAAAATACATTCAAATTTAACCTTGCACTGAAAAACTGTCTCTTAGGCGGCATTGTGCCGTTAAAGGAAGTCTCCCGTAAAGTTAAGGTGTTTTGCAACTGGCCGATGGGTGGTTGTGCATAGGCATCCAGGAAATCTACTTCGAGGAAGGAAGCAAACGGATAAAAATCACCTAAATGTTGCAATTTTTGTTTACAGATTATCGCACTATGTTTACTTTTTGTGGCGGCAGCATCAGCCACTAGTACATGTGGGGAGTGTGGCGCTAACTACGTTGCATGCATAACTAATACAACCTATAAAATTTGCACAGAGGAAGATGGATCAACAACTTGTGAGTAATGACAAACTAAATGCTATCTATTAGATTCCTTAATATTTATTAGAGAAATGTCCACACATGCATCTCGTTTTTTTTACAGTAAGTCCCATCGGTGATGATATTTATGAATGTCAGGACGGTACATACTGCACTAGTTCAGATAATGTCTGTGAGTCGGACCCATCTTCAAGCAATAACATTATTGTATGTAACGAATCAACACCTTCGTGTGGCAGTAGTTGTCAGGGTAAGGCAAGTGGAAAGATGATTTGCTCAAGTTCAACACAATTTGCCCTATGTATAAATGAAGTCGCCTCCGATCCATTATCATGCCCAACAAATCAATATTGCAGTGAGGATCTATACAATTTTAATTTGAAGAAAGTTTGTGCGCCACTGGAAACATTGGATTTCGTGAGTACTAAACATTCATTAAATGTACATACATAACACTGGTCAACAGTGATGCAGTGGTGCAGTTGTGCAGAAATAGATATAGAAGTCATATGATGACTTTTTTGTGTGGATTTTTATACCCGAGCGCACTTGTGCACAAGGGTATATTAATTTTGTTCACATAACGGTTGTTTGTAACAGCCAAAACGAATCGAGATAGATATAGACAAATGTATACATAAATGATCAGGATGAAAAAAGAAATCGATTAAGCCATGTCTGTCTGTCCGTCCGTCTGTCCGTCTGTCCGTCTGTCCGTCTGTCCGTGTACACGATAACTCGAGCAAAAATTGAGATATCTCAACGAAATTTGGTATGTAGGTTTCCCTTAATCCAAGGTAGGTTGGTATTGAAAATGGGCGAAATCGGACTTTAACCACGCCCACTTCCCATATAACGGTAATTTCCAGAAATACGAAAACTGCGATATTTTAGTAACTACTGAAGATAATTCACTCAAAATTGATATTTACAATAATTTTTAGACGAAAAATAAGAATATTATAAATTTTTGGAAAATGGGCGTAGCCACGCCCACTTATGGTTACATGTGTATATCTTGGTAACCGCTGCACCAATTTCTTCCAAACTTGGCACAGTTGTTGGCCTTGGCACAGCATAAAAAACCGCCGAAACTTTTTAAAATCGGACAATAACCACGCCCACATCCCATATAACGGTAATTTAGAGAAATACAAAATCTTCGATAAATCAGTAAATATTGAAGCTAATTTATTCAAAATTGATGCTTGCAACAATTCTTTACCAAGAAATACGTTTATGGTAAAATTTTGGAAAATGGGCGTGGCACCGCCCACTTATGATCACATATAAGTATATCGGTAACCGTTCTACCAATTTGTACCAAACTCGGTATGGTTATTGTACTTGCCACGTGTAAGCAAAACGTTGAAAATTATTGAAATCGGACTAAAATAACGGCCGATTCTCATATAACGGTAAATTTAAGAAATGCTTGAAACTTCAATATTTCGAAATTGAAGGACGCTAATTTACTCAAAATTGATACACCTCGGCTTACCATCTAGCGGAAGGTTTCGGAAGGGTGAAAAAACATATATTTAATACTTGCGCCGGGTATTTAATGTTCGGCTCCGCCCGAACTTAGACTTTCTTACTTGTTTTCATTTATGTCTTATATTTTTTGTAAAAGGTATTAGCTTCAAGAAATGGGCATAAATCGAAAGTCGTGTTAAATCGAGAAATTTCTCATTTACAACAAAAAAATCTTTTTAACCCCAGAACACTAATGTCAGTCCATTCGCCTATACCTAAAGTAGTGGAAGGTATTTTTATCCGGGTGAGAGATTTCATGAGAAAATTGCAAGCCTGGAAAATTGGTATAGTTTCAAGAACCTTGTTGCTCTATTAGGAGATATTTATTTATCGGAATTTAGAAGACAATAATGAAGATGATTGAAAAATTTACTTCAATTTCAACAAAGAAAAATTTACCATTTCCATACAACAATAAGAGTTTTTGGCCGTTTTCGGTAATTTTTGCACCTTTTTTTGTATGAAAGTTGTACTAAATATTTGTCGGATCGCGAAAATAATGCCAAATTCGGATCCGCACCGAAAACGCCCCAATACGAATTTTCCGAGCCATCGAAAATCTTAAAATTTTGCTCAATAACAGGGCCAGCCTAAAAATTTGAATTTGAAAAACGCAGTTTTGAAAAAAGTGTTGGTTAGGGCCTTTGTGAATTAATATAACGATATGTATGTATGTTTTCAACAGATATAAGATATTCTTCTGGTCGACCTTATTCTCTCGATATCTTGACTACACGTTGAAAAAAATATATAAAAATTATTTTTATCAGCAATTTATCTTAAAACAAACCACTAACGATATCTCGGCACCAAAAACTTTTTCTGAAATTGTTGACCTGTGTAATGCCATAATGGAGGTTTTATTTGTGAATTAATTTCGTATGTATGTATGTATGTGTTTTTTAGCTTGAAGCACAAATAACATGCCCTTCCACCGAAGAGATAACTCCAACGACCCAGTCTACAACTCCAACAACAACGACAACGCAATCACAAGCGTATCTATTAAGCGCATGCAATAATTCGACTGAAACTAGTTACTATTTTCAAGTAGCAAATCCGGCGAATTGTAATACGTAAGTAATGAACCATTTCTATGTAACTTTTAATTATAATTATAATATTTATATAGATACATTTACTGTGAACGTAGCGGCTCAAGCTTCCTTGCATTAGAGATGAATTGCAGAAGTGGTCTCTATTACAGCGCAGCTCAGAAGAAATGTATTCAGGCGACAGAGTGTCCGAATTAATATTTATTAGTAATCAGTATATACATACATATGTATGTGCGAATATTTATAGATCCGAAATCGTGAAATTGGCACACAAAAAAATTTAGCAAATATTATTTTATTGAAATTTTTATAATTTTGTTTTATTTACCCATAAGCTATGCTATATTTTTAATATTTTAAAACGATAGGTCTTTCATGCTTGATTCTTCACTCTCTGGAAAGCAAACATTTGAGAGAAAAAGGCCGTTTTCGCCATGTCTGGGTAAAATGAATCCCCAGTTAAACATCATTATCGACGTTGTTGAATCCATTCGTAAAATATGGTAAGCTAGAGCTTACACTATATGCAAGTATACCTATGGTCAAAATAATATTAGTGCCACATTTGATTACACTGGATCACAAATTTTAATTTAGAATTGCTCGGTGATTCCGAAATTCGAGCTAATTTTTTTTTTCTATGGATACGTTTTCGAGATATTTGCAAGCAGAAAAGCGTGCTAGTTAGGTGTATGAGTAACATTCCTTTGTGCTCAATTTTCATACAAATAATCTTGCGTATTTTTATTTGACCACTCATTATTTCGCAGATTTTCTTCATCAGCAACTTGATTTTTATTTTTTTTTGTAACAGAACAGGCTTTAGTACAAATGCAAAAATTTGGCACAGAACCTGTTATTTTTTAAATTTTTCTTCTGTTAAAGTTTAATTATTTTTTTTAATTTCTTTTATTAAAAAATAAAAAAAAGCTGGAATGATTAATTAATTTGTCAGAAACTATAAGCCCTATCGGAAAGTGATGTATACACGGTTTATGGATAATTTCATTGGCTTTCATTTGCCGTATTTTATATTTTTTTAATTGCTTCGTTAGATATACGTGATTAAAAGGAACCAATTTTGCTTTAAAATGAAATTTTGCTTTAAATTTAATTTTATTATGCATTATTTCCCTCAGTGTAGGGTAATCTGAATTTTGCCCCTGGGCGACAAGCCTTAACCGACTCCAATCGGAGCCAATATTTATATGTGATATCTTCCACTATAGTAGCATCGACGTAAGGGATCAACCCTTGGGATGTCTGATGTAAAAATTTGCTTCATACATTTAAGAAACACCCTAATGTGCATACCTACTAATTTCTTTTAAATAAAGACACAGTTGCAAAAGTGAGTTACTTAAAATAAAAAAAATAAAAACTTTCGAAAGTTGATGCAAACTCTCCTCTTCCTCTTTATGGCTTCTTTTTGTTTGTAATGCATGACATAAATATTATAAAAAATTACTTAACCCGCTGATATTCTATGCGATGAAATTAGTGCTAAAAGAAAATTAACCAAAACCACAGATTGGCACGTCTCTAAATTATTCGTATCCATAAAGACAACTTCAGTGCGATCCATGCATACATATGTAATGAATATGTACATATATACGTATATACGTGGGTGCGTTTTGGTTTTTAGGACTAGCATACAAAATACTACAAAATAATAAAAAGATTTTTGCTACTTAAAGAAGTTTAAACGACGAACTCCTCGTATGTTCTTTGTTTTCATCGGTAAACTGTTGGCTGCTTGGAGCGATGTGGCCAAAGTCAGCCAGAAGTTGTTAGAAAAACGAAAAATCACTAGAAACTCGTTTTTTCCTAAACTAGATTCTTCCAGAGTTAAAGCATAGACAGACGGTAGCGTTGATCCGGATCAACTCGTTAATTCGTAATTACCTCTGGAATTAACTGCAGTTGATCCGGATTAAGTCCTAGGACTGGTTTCTCCAACTCAACTTAACTTAGTTTAGCCATTTTATGGACTTAAGTCAAAAATTAGCCCACTTTTTACAAAGCTTATTCTTTACTAAGTCCAAAAAATTTTCTTAACTAAGTTAAGTTGAGTTGGAGAAACCAGCCCCTAGAGTTAATTCCCAAACTTAACTCGGATCAAGGGAATTTTCTATGACAACACTGACCAAAGCTCAGAGAGTGTAGAATACAGAGAATATGCAAATCTAGCATGGACATTAGAGTGGTCCAAAATAATAAAGTCGGAATTTTAGTTAGTTTTGTTTGATTTATATATTTATGTAATTTTACTTCATTTTAATTTTGTTTGTTTTACTTTATTTCACCTTTTTTATTTTTTTATTAGTTAATTTAAATCATTAGATAAAAAAAATAATAATAAAAAAATAATAAAATAAAAAAAATAGTAAAACAACTTTAAAAAATATAGAAGTTAAAAATGAATAATTAAAAAAAAAATGAACATTCTCCTGGCCGTGGTATTCGAACCCACGACCTCGCGGCTCGTAAATGCGCATTACTGCCGTCTGTCAAGGCACAATTTTGATTAGATCAATTGCGGCGTTAGTCCGGATCAACGGACTGTTTAGCTGTTTCCGGTAGAAACCGAGCATAAATTGTTTGCCCAGCGAATGATGCTCCCTTGCAGGTAGATTTGGTATAGTTGTTGTTTTTGTTGTGGCGGCTTACAACTGCCAAGATCAGCCTGTCACTTAGTCGTTGTCGTCAAGCTCCAATGGGAGGCCCAAGTATGCCAGTCCGACTGGGTTGGACAAGAAGGAGAGGGGAGTTAGTTGAGTAGGGTTTAGGGGCATGTCGGTGGTATCGAGTCATGGGTTGACTCTCTGCATGCCGGACATTCGTTGGCCACATCTAGATTTATGCTATTCCGGTAAGAGTTTAGCGAGACAGACGAAGTTCTATCTCGTCCACGTCATGTAGCTGTGTCCCTAAAACGGCATTCACAGCTCGGATGTTGGTGTAAGTCGAGACCGAAACTCTGTGAATGTCGCTTGTGGCCTGTCGGTACTCTGTCAGGTTCAGTGGTTGTTTTATGAATTTCCGGACCTCGTCCGTCAGTTCGTATAGATGCCTTCTGACGTATCTAGGCGAGGGCTCTGCAGCAAGCAAATGTCTGTTCGGGTGCTCGTTTGTGGCACCGAACTAGGCACTGCTTGCATAGCATAGTATTGCGCTCCTTGACGGGGAGGCCTCGTCATTTAGATGGTGTTCTTGCGACATCCGAAGGCATTACGTGGCGGTTCGGAGCGTCGTGTAGCTTCAACCACTGCGCTGCATAGTTTAGAAACGGCAAGCCTTTTATGTTCCCAGCAACGTTTCTTTGTCTTTGCTCCAGGTGCCGCCTGATAGCGACTTGAGGACCTTGTTGCGAACTGTGTACTCTATTTCGACGTGAATACCCAGCTGCAGTCTGACCTCCTTCGTCCAGGTGGTTGTTGCTGAGTTTGCCGAGGGTTAGGCTCCTTGCAGTGAAGAAGCCAGACAGTTCGGAGAGTTAGTCGTTTACTTTCGAGCACAAGTCATCAATTCCATTCCCAGACGCCATTATCGAGCAGTCGTCAGCATAATAGACAGTCGAGCCTCCCTCTGGTGGCTGAGGGAGCTTTGAAATGTATAAGTTAAACAGTAGCGGGGAAAGGATACCACCCTGTGGGACTCCCTGTTTGACTCCCTCGGACTCAATTTGCTTGATTTGTCTCTTAAAGATTACTGACGAGTTTCGACAACTCAGATAATTCGCCGACCACCGTTTAAGTCTCTGTGGAGGAGAGGAAGCCCCTATGTCTTCTAGGAGCGTGGAGTGACTAACGGTGTGAAACGCCTTTGACAGATTAAACGCTGCTAGGACTGTTCTCTCACAGGGTTTTTATCTGATGGTTTATGACGTTAATCTATTTCGTTTACTTACCTTAAAAGAAAAGGAAAAAATTAAGAATACATTAAAAGATAAGATCACTTTTGCTCGAATTTCAAATATTAACAACACCCCACGTACATACATACGCAACAAGACTGAAAGTATTTCAACAATGTTGAAAACAACAAAAAACCACTTATGGAAAGTGTTGAATTTTTTTTTATATTTGGTTAACATTAGCTAAGATAGCATAAGATTTAAAGCATAGACAAAAATACTAGCAGATAAAACCAGATACCGGCACTGTATTATACCCCATAGTAAAAAGAATGGCAAACTAGAGGAGAATTTCGATACATACTAACGACATATGTACATATGTATCTCGATATTTAATTTTTAACATAAATAGCGTGCAAGTGGATTGCAATGCTAAAGACAAAAAACGGAAAGAGTGACAGTAACTGCCGAGACTCACTGAAGTGGTTAACAAAGGTTTAGTGGAAGTAAAGTGGATGCTACATTTCGCTCTACGTCCTACAAAATTGCTAGTTTACTGGCGATAAAGCGCGAGCTAAGGCCATAAAACAGCAATTACTTTCAGGAATACACTTCAAGTAAACTAGTTTTGCGTTATTCTGTATACCCTGCGATTTACTAAGGGGTTTGTAAATCGCAAGCAAGGCCGAATGAATATCCAATTTCAAATAAAAGCCAACAAAAAAATAAAATTCGCGAAAATTTCATAAAAGCTGTGTAACATTAAAAGTTTGGTATTAGTCGTGCTAGGAACTATTTGTGCGAGGTATTGCGCCGTTAGATATAATTCACAGAAGATGTTAAAAATTTACCAAATATTGGTAAGGAATATGATTTAATTTGTTACATATTTAAATTAACTACATCTTTTCATCAGATAGCGATTTTCGCAATTTTCATTATCATTCTCCGTGTAACCAGCCAAGGATGCAACGTTTGCCAGAGTAATAGTGCAGCATGCATTAATGAAACATCATTTTATTTGTGTTATGGGGGTAGATAAATGTGAACGAAATTCGTATGTCCCCAAGTGTGCATTAAAGATTTTCTTGAATACATTCCTAGGTACATTACCCTATACTAATCAAATATACAACTGTGCTGACGGTCTTGTCTGCTCGGATCAACCAAATATTTGCTTCCAGAGTAATGGAGCAGCAGCTAGTTGTGGCGATACTTCTAGTTGTGGATTATGCAATGCAAATCAAGTATTCGCATGCACCAGTCGCACCACATTCGCATTTTGTTTTGGTGCCACACGACCGACTGATGTAAATGGCACATGCCCGACGGGTTGGCTGTGTGACGCATCTACACAGAACATATGCGTTGCCGAAACTACGGTATGAAACAGCTTATCAAATACTTATTTTGAATTTCAAAACACATAAAT